ATCTCTTTTAATTAGATCTATTTTTGCTTTTATTTTGTCTTAGATCATGATTGCTACTGCTGCTTTTTTTTAACTCCAGTTGAAGCACAATAGATGCTGCTCCAGCCCCTTATTTTTGTTCTGTGTGGGTCTCTCTGTTTCAAGTGTGTTTCTTGTGAATGCTATATTGTCAGGTTCTGTTTTTGAATCCATTGTGCTATCAGTTTCCATTTTATGGGTCAGTTCCTGCCAGGATTAATTCACTTTTAAAGTCCCCTGCAATTCTGACTAGATTCACAGAAACTTAGAGCTAGCATTGAGTTGCCTTCCTGCTTTTCCTACTTATTTCTCTGAGCACAGAGAGTCCTGAGCATTCAGGAATTCTGGGATTATTTTTTAACATTATTTTCTAACATTGTCAAAATGTCAAAAGAAGAAAAAAATAGTCCTTTTATATGTGAAAGTCCATGTTTACCCTGTCTCAGATCACAGAGAAATTGTCTTTGCTGCTTGAAGGTCTGTATTCCTTACTGATTAGTAGCTTATTAGAGTATAATGAATTTAACTAAATCTTAATTGATTCCATAACAAGAATCACATGGGTAGGATTAAATAGAAACTTGCTTCTTTGGTATAAAGTTTTGTCTTCTGTAGTGACTGTTAACCCAATTTAATTGTACAAACATCTGTTAAATATATACTGTATGGAATGCACTATTGATACAAGAAAAAAATGAAATGGGCCTGTCCCACAAAAATCTCATGTTCATTCTACTGTAGAGATGTAACCCATTTGTACATAGATAGGTAAATGCAAGGAAATTTGAGGAGGTAGAGTACCAATAATTGTGAAGAACAGGAAAGGCTTTCCATAAGAGGTGGTAAGCGATTTGAGCTTTGAAAGAAGCTAAGGAATCTATGGCGTGGAAGTAATGTGTAGCAATTCAGTTTAGGGAAGGAAGATAGCTCGTGCAAAGGCATAAGGAAAGGAAGGTGGAATACTGAGTTCAGGGAACAGCGAGTAGGCCAGTTTGGCTGACATGGAGAGTGCCTGAAAGGGGAATATTAACAGTCAGACTGGAAAAGCAGATGGGAACCAGATTTTGGAGGGCTTTTAAAATGTCAGGTTGAGGAGTTTGTATTTTATCTCATAGGCAGTAGAATTTTAAAACTGAAAGGCATTTGAGAGCCTCTATAAGTTAGTGTAGTCATGGGTGGGAATGTGGAGTACATTGGACCCTCCTTCTGACTTAATTACCCTCATTGCAGTTAGAATTTTGTTCCAATAGTGATGTTGGTTAAATAATACACACACACACACACACACACACACACACACACACACACACACAACCCTCATGGCATTCTACTGGTGCTTGCCCTGCCACAAAATATAATAGTGAATGTAACAGAAACTAAATTGTATGTTGAGAAACTACTTATTACCACAATTTGCAAGTTGATTTTAAAATAAAGTAAACCAAATAGTGAGTATATGGTTAGCTGTTCTTTGTGTTTGTAAGGTGAATAAATGAATTATAGTTGAAGAGGGAGGTAGGTTTCCTATCATAGTGATACTTCTAGTGGTGGTTTTTATGGTATTTATTAATGCAAAATACCTTATGTTATCCTCCTCTACAACTAATGTAATTTCCCAAAGATGCAGTTGAACCCCTTATAACCAGTCCTTCCTATAACATTGCAACCTAGGAAGGGATGTAATCCTGGCCTTAGCTCAGTGAAAGTCTAGGTTCAAAATGCAACTTTGCCACTTGTTATTAGTTTTGTTGCTTGGACAAGTTACTTTTCTTTTCTGAGACTTGTCTCATGTGCAAAATGAGGATAACAAGCTAGTCTTACAAAAGTTTTCCTTGGTTACAAAAGATAATAGTTAAGAAAGTGTGAGTTATTCAGTGCAAGATACTTCTTAACACTATGTGAAAAACAATCCAGGTTCTATTTTGAATTTATTGTGCAGTATGTTGTAATATATTGACCTAAACCTAATTTCTCTCAGATTGTTTTCCAGTTTTCCTGGCAATTCTTTTCAAATAGAGAATCTTTTCATAGATAATTCACATTTTCAGATTTATCGAATACTGGATTATGAAGTTCAATCATTTCTAATACTTCCTTGTCTAATCTGTTGCATTAATATATTTTTTTCAGTTTTTTCTTTGTAATATCATAATGAAAAAAAGTCCATGACAGTGTCCATTTTTCCATACTTCCTCCTACGTTGACTATTTCCATTTTTGTCCTCTTTGCCAATTTACTTGGTATGAGGTGAAACTTCATGTTTGTTTTGATTTGAATTTCTCTTATTTATTTAGAGTATTCTTTTTTTGTGGATCTCAATAGCTTGTAATTCTTTTGAGAATTGTTTGTTTATTTCCTTTGGCAAGAGCAGGTAGGTGGCTCAGTGGATAGATTGCTTAGCCTGGAGTCAGGAAGACTCATCTTCTTGAATTCAAATCTGGCCTCAGACATTTACTAGCTGTGTGATCCTGGGCAAGTCATTTGACCCTGTTTGACTCAGTTTCCTCATCTGTAAAATGAGCTGCAGAAGGAAATAACATTCAAATATATTTGCCAAGAAAACCTCAAATGGGGTTATGAAGTTGGACACAATTGAAACAACTGAACAATAACAGCAACAAAATCCTTTGACAACTTATCTATTGGCAAATTGATTTTGGTGTTATATATTTTTAAGGGTCTAATATTCAAGATATATAGACAACTGTCATAGGTATAAGATACAAATTTTTTTTCCTAACTTACCACTTGCCTTGTTAGCCTAATTGCATTACTTTTGTTAATACAAAAAATTTTTCAATGTCAAGCAATCAAAATTATGTATTTTATTTTTTAATAACTTCTATACCTTATTTTTTGTATAAGAATTCATCCCTTAATAGCTGTGTGACCCTGGGTAAGTCACTTAACCCTAATTATCTAAAAAAAAAAAAAGAATTCACCCCTTAGCCATAGCTGTGAATAGTATTTAATAGATTGTCTTCTAGTTTTTTAATGGTTTGATCTTAAATATTCAGGTCATATATGTATATGTATACATAGATTTTGAATTTATTGTGTAATATATAGTAAGATGTTGATCTAAACTTAATTTCTGCCAGATTGCTTTCCAGTTTTCCTGGCAATTCTCAAATAGGGAGTGCCTTCCTAGATAATTCATAGTTTTAGATTTATCATATAGTGGGCTATTGAAATCAATCATTTCTGATTCTTCCTTGTCTAATCTGGTACCTTAATATATTTTTCATTTTTTGGGGGGTGGTAATATTGTACCAAATGGTTTCAATGATCATTGTTTTAAGAATATTGTTTGAGATCTAGAAGTGTTATTAATCTTTCATTACTACCTTTTTCATTATTTCCCTTGATATTCTAATTTTTTTTTCCTGCAAATACAATTATAAATTGGTATAACCATTTTGGAAAACAAATTGGAATTTTTCAAATAAAGTGACTAAAATGCACATACCCTTTGCCTCAGAAATTCCATTGCTAGGCTTGTACCCTAAGGAGGTTGGTGACAAATAGAAATGTCCCATATAACCCAAATTATTTTTAGCAGCACTTTTTATTGTAGAAATAAGTGAAAACAAAGTAAATGCCCATCAATCAGAGAGTGGCCAAACAAAATATAAATATAATTTAATATTACTGTACTGTAAGAAATGATGAATGTGATTAAAAAGAGAAGCATGGAAAAATATATTAACTGATGCAAAATGAAGTGAGCTGGGCCAAGAGCCAGGAAAAAAACATATCCTTTCTCTGGAAAAAGGAAAGAAGAGATACAGTGTGAAATGTAAAAACAAAGCATATCAATAAAAAGTGTACTTAAAAAAGAAAAATAATCTAGGTACTGTTATGAGCTATGCATCTTTTTCTTCAGCTACCACATACATATAAAATGGTATCATTGTTGGTATAAGTTTTGTAAAAATATTGACTAATATTGTGATTTTACTTAACATAACTTTGTACTTACTCTGCTGTTCCTATAACAGTATATGCAAAAAGGTTTTCAAATGAGTAACTATTGGGAAGCATCCAAATAGAGTAGAAGGACACTGGATTTGGAATCATTAGACATTTACTTAAAGTTCTGTCTCCACCACTTATTAAGCTTGAAATACTGGAAAATCACTTATCTTTTCAGAATCTCAGTTTCCTCATATTTCAAATGTAGATAATACATGTGTACCTACTTCACAGGGTTCTTGTGAAGAAAATGTTTTATAAACTATATGCTGTTATATTATCAACTGTGAGCTACCATACTTATTTTGTATTATCTTTTTAAAGCTGATTATTTAATAGTTGACCAAACATCTTCTGTAATACTGTTTTTGTTTTTTTTAACTTCAGAAGATCTGTGATGTCAGTTGTCTGGATATTTCCTTTACTGATGCAGATTATAATGTCACTAATACCCTAAATGGTTTTTTGAGTTGTTGTGGCCCCTCCAAAGTCTTACCTGATATCCAGCTTTCTGGTGATGAACCCTTGGAATCTTATCCAGTCTCTTTCTTAAATAATGATTCATATTCTTTTATCTAATTCTGTTCAGTTTAGTTAACATTAATTGAACACTTACTATGTATAAAGTACTGATCTTGGTTGGATTTGCCAGTAGACTGGTATAGTTTTTAGGCCAAAGTTACATCATGATGAAATATCAAAGTAAGACTTTAGTTCTGTGGTTATAATATTTGAGAATACTTTTTCTTTAACTGGTACAGTTGAATGTGTAGTCTTTTGATCTTTTTTGAACTTGTTTAGCTTAAATGATCTGATGGTGACAAATCTGTGCTTTTTTAAAAAATTTTCTGGAAAAAGTTGAACAAATAGTTGGAACATTAAAATCTAAACTCTCTTTTTGTCTTCACCTAATGTACATATGAATATGACCTTTTTTTTTTTTAAACATATATAGGACTGAATTTGCTCTTAAAGAAATCATGTCCTCTGGAGGAGCTGAAGATGATATCCCACAGGGAGAGAGAAAAACAGTCACTGATTTTTGTTACCTACTGGATAAATCTAAGCAGCTGTTCAATGGGTTAAGGTCAGTGAATTCTTAATACTTTGTTGTGAATGGCAAATGACCCCAAATATTCTGAAGCATTGAATTTTTGTGTACCTGAATGTGCCAAAGTTTTCTAAAATTAATGGATAATATATTTTGTAAAGATCTGGGAGAAAACAGATGAACAGATGAAATTTTTCCTCATTAAAGCTTCCTCTTAAAACATATGTGAATTAAATACATTTGGAAAATGGATTGTTTGTAATATTGAACCTAAATTGAGGTCTATGATTATTTTAAACGATTACAAGACTATTATTGATTATTGTAAATGATTACAAGACTATCATTCTTAATATCTTGATACTGAATGAGGTTTGAGGTTGAGAGTTCCCTCTTACCAAACTTTGGAGTACAAAACATATCAGTACAAATGTGTGATCTGCTTTCTGCATGGCTAAGGAAGAAGCTACCATGTGGGACCAGCACAGAGATAGGATATTTTTGCTTTTAAATATTTTTGTTTTTTCTTTTCTTTCTTTAAATTTGCTATATACACATCTCATTGAGAGGATAGCTTTTTATTTCTTCATTTTTCTGTCCTTAAAACAAGAGTCAGCCTGATTTCTTCAGGGATAAATTATTCCAAATTAACCTGATTTCCTCTTTTGACAAGATTAATTGTTTGTCAATTGTTTTTTCAGTTACATCTGACTCTTCATGATCCCATTTGGGGTTTTCTTGGCAAAGATACTAGAATGGTTTGCCATTTCCTTCTCCAGCTCATTTTACAAATGAGGAAACTGATTTGTCCAGGGTCACACACCTAGAAATGTCTGACTCCAGTCCTAGGACTCTGTCCACTGTGCCGCCTTATTGTAAGACACATCTAACCAAACAAGTAGTTGAGGGGAATGCTGTAGATTTAATTTACTTGAATTTTTTAGCAAAGCTTTCAATGAAGTCTCACGTAATTTTCTTGTGGAGTAGATTACAAGTTATGAATTAAACAGTAATACAATCAGATGGATTCAGAATGGTTGGATGGTCAGACTCAGAATTAATGGGTTAGTGTTAGCATGGCAGGGGTCTCCAGTGGATTACCATGGATCTGTACATGGCCTTGTGTAATTAACATTTTTATTAATGACTTGGATAAAGGCATAGATGGTATTCTCCTCAGTTTTGTAAAATTACACATTTGGAAGGCATAGTTAACATACTGGATGACAGAATCAGGATCCAAAATTGAATAAGATGAAACTTAATAGGGATGAATATAAAGTTTTATATCTAGGTAGAACAAAAATCAGCTCCATAAGTATGTGGGAGGCATGGAAAAAAAGCGGTTGTTCTGAAAAGGATCTGGGAGTTTTAGTGGACCACAAGCTCAATGTGAGTCAGCAGTATGATGTGGCAGCCAGAAAAACTGGTACAAGCTTGTATTGCAGTAGGAGAGGCACAACTTTCAGGAACAGTGAGTTGATACTCCTGCTGTACTTTGCCCTTGTCAGACATTATCTGTCGTATCGTCTTTAATTCTGAGCACTATGATTTAAGGACGTTTATAATCAAATGAGATTATATTTATTAAAAGCAAGCAAACAAATCTCTCAGCACAGTAACTGGCACATCATCATTATCATCATCATCTTCTTCATCATTATAACTAACATTTATATAGCATTTACTGTGTGCCAGGCACTGCACTAAGCACTTTGTAATTATTATCTTATTTGATCCTCCCAACAACCCTGGGAGGCAGATGCTATTATTACCCCCATTTTCTAGATGAGGAAACTGAGTCATTCAGAGGTTAATGACTTGCCCAGGGTCACACAGTTAGTAAGGGTCTGAGGCTGGATTTGAACTCAGGTCTTCCTGGCTTCATGCTCAGTGTTTTATCCACTGTGCTGCCCAGCTGTCCTAGTGGTGCTATATAAATGCTTATTTCTTCCTCTACCTTCTCCTCCACAAATAAACTGGAGATTGTCCAGAGGAGGGCAACCAGGATGACGAATATATTTGTGTTATATGACAATCGGTTGAATGAAGTGAGGATATTTAACCTGGAGAAGGGAAAACTCTGGGGTGGTAGGAAACATGATAGTCACTTCAATATTTGAAGTGCTGTTCTGTGAAGTTAAGATGAGACTTGTATTATTTGGTCCCACAGGGTGAAACCAGGAGCAACAGATAGAAACTGCAAAGAAGTAAATTTAGACTGAATATCAAGGGAAAATGTCTGAATAAATAGAGGGTCCAAAAGTGGAAGAGCTTGCTCTAAAGTTCTGAATTTTTGTTACTTGGATGTCTTTAGGCAGCAGCTAGACATCACCTTGTTGGATCCTATTTAGTGGTGTGTTATTCATTTATGGGTTGGACTAAATGCCTGCTACTAAATACTAAATGGCTGCTAAAGTCTGCCAACTGTCAAATTCTGTGTGTTTGTGAAATCAATATACACACCAGGGATGAACAAACAGAGAAAACCTGTGTATATCAAGTAGGTGTCCAAATGAAATCATAAGATAGGGTCATGGATTTGGAGCTGGGAAGGACCTTAGAGACCCTCTCACCTTCTCCTTTTACAGGTGAAAAAACTAAGGCTCAGAGTTGTTAAGAAAGTTGCCCAGGGTCACACAGTTAGTAAATGTCAGAGGTAGGATTGGAAATTAGGTCTTGCTGTCTCCAAGTCTAATTCTTGATATCAGGTACGCTTATTAAAGGATATTGTGAACTGCCAACTAGGATCTTAGGACTGTTGGAGGTAGGCGGGGTCTGTTTTCCTCCAACCTGTATTGAGATTGAAGTAGTGAGGTGGTAAATCCCTCAAAATGACTTCCTGATTTTCTTTTTTTGTAGAGGAAAAGTCCTTTCTCTGATATGTGTTAGGGATGCTCCCTTGGTTTTCAGGGGCTCCATGGTGGTGATTGGTAAGGAAGGAAAGTATTATCTGGTACTTACATTTATAAATCCAGATTTTGAGGATCTCTGACTGTTGTTTGATGGGGCAAAAGACAGAGAAAGAGAAGTCAGGAGAGAATTTTTCCTATCTTTTTTTGGGGGGGATGGTTAGGCAATTGAGGTTAAGTGACTTGCCCAGGATCACACAGCTAGTAAGTGTCAAGTGTTTGGTCTGAGGCCAGATTTGAACTCAGGTCCTCCTGACTTCAGGCCAGTGCTCTATCCACTGTGCCACCTAGCTGCCCCGAATTATTCCTATCTTATAGATGATTTTGGGTGAACATTATGGTTTTTGCAGTATTTTTGAGAAACTCTCCCTTGCACAGATAGTCAAGAGATTATACACAGAATAATGATGCTTAAGTTTGTTCAACGTGAATTTCTGATTTAACTCTTAACTTATCCATTCATTTATTGAAATAGTGGTAAGATATATACTTATGTCTGTTTGTCAGCTATATGTAGGATGGAGATAAGGATATCAATCAAGAGGATTTTATAACCCTTCAGGAAGGAGGTGATGAGTACCTGAACTGGATTGGTGGCTGTGTGAGTAGAAAAGGAGATGAATATGAGGGATGCAGTCAACAAGATTTAATAGCTGATTGACTAGGGGTAGAGGGACACACATATACAAACATATATATGTGAGTTAGGGGCAGCTAGATGGCACAGTAGATAGGAGGACCTAATTACTAGCTGTGTGATCCTGGGCAAGTCACTTAACTCTGTTTGTCTTAGTTCCTCATCTGTAAGATGAGCTGGAGGAGGAAATGGCAAATTCTAGTATCTTTGCCAAGAAAACCCCAAATAGGGTCACAGAGTCAGACACAACTGAAATGACTCAACAACATTATGTATGTATATACGGGTATACATATATAAGTACATGCACATTTTTATTAATGAAAATTTTTGAGTTCATGCATTTTGGTGGGGTGTTGCATTTATGGTGATATTTTTTAGACATTCCCATATATTTTTATATTTGAATGACCAATATTAGTAGTTTTTTGCTTCCAAGCAACTTTACCATACTTGACCAGGGTTTATAGAGTCAAATAACTTAATCTAATAAATTAGAGTCTATCCATCAAGTCTAAAAGTGAATAGGAAGCTGTATCATCATGGCTTGAGGCTAGCAGGAAACTGTCAATACCTGGGAAGCTTGAGCCTTCATGCCTGGGTCAGTTGAGTATTGGGGACAGTATACTTACTGTTTAAGAAAACAAACCTAAACTGCATAATGAGGAAGACCCTGATAGTAAACCTCACAACACATCCGTCCAGCTTTACAACCTTCAAGTCCCTTACTCTCCATCATTTACCCAAGTCTTGCTGATTTTGCCTTTACAACATCTCCAACCATCTCCTTTTTTCCCTGCTCACACTCCTATCATCCTACTTTAGTCACTTATGACCTTTCACTGGGAGTATTGTAATATCCTCCTAACTCGTCTCCATCACTCCAGCCACTACCTCCTCTAATCTATCCTGCACACAGGGGCTACATTGATATGCCTAAAGCACAAATCTGACCATGTTACTCCCTTTCAAAAAGTTTTAGTGCAGGTGTTCTTAACCTTTTTTATGTCACAGATTCTTTGGCAGTCTGATAAAGCCAATAGATCCCCTTTCAGAATTCTGTTTTTTAAATAATTAGAAGGAATGCTAAATTTTAGTTAGAGGTTAGTGAAAATAGAGATGTAATTTTTTTTCTCCATCCAATTTCAAAGATCCCTTGAAATATACACACAGAAGGCTTGGGGTCCGTGGACCATAGATTAAGTCTTACTCCTAGGATAAAGTACCTTGCGCTCTTTAAAGCACATGAAAAGATCAGTTATCATTATTATTATCATCATCATCACTATTTTCATAAATTAATGAAAAGTGGCATGTGTGTTTGTGTGTGTATGTGCACATGTATGTATAATTGGTAGTTCAGATGGACTTCTGTCAGGAATTGGACTGAGCTTGTATTTGAATAGTTCTACAGAATGACTAGGATGATAAGGACCCTTGAAACCATGTGATAGGATCTGTTGAAGTAAATAGGGATATAGTCTTGA